AATTAAATATTATCATTTTTAAATACATTTATGATTTATTAGGTCATTCGGTTGAACCTCCATTTCAGCCTTTAACCTTGAATCTCTCATTCTACAGGTTCAATGCCCGATTCAAATTTTCACAACTTTGTGAAACACTAAGGGTCTTTTTGGGGCAGCTTCAGCTTATTGAATAATCTGTTAATAAGCTGATTAAAAATAATCTGCCGATAAACTAGGTGCGGTTACTATTATAAATTTTTAATTTTTTAGAAAAGTCTAACCACTGCCAGAAAGCATAAATTTTTATTTTTTTAGAAAAGTCAGACCGCTGGCAGAAAGTTGTCATCGCACATAGATAGCTGCGGTGTGAAAAACACTGTTTTCAGCATTTTGAAAATGCATAAACTGTCAAAATGTAATTTAACCAAAATGGCAGATGCGTTTTTAAAACGTCATCGAACCAAATAAGCTGCCCATAAACAAACCCTAAGTCGTTATATAATGATTTGACAATCAATAATGTTACAAAAAAGATAATCTCCTTAATATATAAAATTTTAATTTTATAATGAACAATGTCATATTGATAAATTATTTGTTTTGGGAAGTTTTTTGCAAGCTTAAAATGGATGCAAATATAAATTTATAATTAAAAATAATAAAACAGGACGTATCATTACTGTGCAAGAGAATTTTGAACTGCTGGACCGAAATTATTCTTATATCAGATAACTTGGTAAACAGATCTTGAAAATTAATTTCCAGCGATTAAAAAATATTATGAAATTGACAAAAAAAACATTATTATATCGCACGTTTTAGGCTGAATGTAAATTAAATATTATATAAAAATGGACCTTTTTGTTTTCTCTTGTTTCTTCTCCTATAAAATAAAATGAAATTGTGCCGTAGATAATGCAATTAATGAGCTGAAAAAAAGGACGCGTCATCTCATTATGGATGTCTACAGATCATTGTGTGTGAGTTGAGAAATAATAAGACATAAGAAAATGCTGTCTTAAAAAATAATCAATTTTAGCATTTTTTTTAAATTAAAAAATATCCTATATTTTACATAAATATCTTTTAAATTTAATATATTTGTTTTTTATTTTAAAAGAATTTTATTATTGTAGTGATTAATTTTACGATGCAAGGTCTTCTACCGGATTGTATATACAACATCTACATATTATTAGAGTTTTAGAATGATAAAAATATTAGATAAACAACTAAATATATAGACTTTAAACTTGGGTTGAGTATTGACAACTTAGTAGGATATATGAACTTATAATAATTTTAATTGAATAGAAGTAATAGCAACATGTATGCTAACCTATTATCACTACTCAATAGTAAAGCCTATAGCAATTACCAATATAGCACTAATAAGTAAGGAGTGGAATGTTACTATCGCCTCAGATTTACACTCTAGCCTTGCCCTAGTAAAAAGAAAACATAGATTAATGAATTTTTAGGTAAATATGAGCTATGTATATCATGTCATGTCAGTACATAAGAATTTCCATGTATATAAAAAAAAAAATTTGAATTTATTGTATCTATTGGTATTTTGAAAACGCATAAGCTGCCTAAACACAGTTTACCCAAACAGTCCAGGTGCGTTTTCAAAATGCCACCGCGCCAAATAAGCTGCCCCAAACGGACCCTTACACTCTAGCCTTGCCCTAGTAAAAAGAAAACATAGATTAATGAATTTTTAGGTAAATATGAGCTATGTATATCATGTCATGTCAGTACATAAGAATTTTCATGTATATAAAAAAAAATTGAATTTATTGTATCTATCAGTATGCTAAACTTAACACACATGAATCACAAAAAAATGAATATAGCCACCCTCATGTACCAAACCACTCGATCCCGCACTGCAAAGCTGATGCACTTAGGCGGGATAGAACCCATGACCCCAGGGGACTCGCGCAAGGCTGCACTACTAAAGAGTCGCGACAAGTGACACTATATATATATATATATAATGAATTCTCTATAAGATAATAGAAGTCATTTGTAGATCAGATTTGATCTCAAGCAATTTGATGAACATTTGATTGAACATCAAAAGTCAAATTCGAAGTTTTAAATTAATGGAATTGTATTTATGTTCCAAAGTAAAATTTTGTATAATCACTCAATGATCAAAATAATTTCAGAAATACATTTTAAGAGAGATCTTAAATTACTACGCTAATTAATAATGCAGATAAATAAGTTAATAAAACAAACTTTAAGAGTATTATGACATTTTTATTAGATATAAGCACGCTTCAAATTTTGTGGAGTTTGTTTGCATGCAAAGAAAAATGGTATATTTCTAATTTTCTAGGGTTGGCATTTGATACTTTAGCCAAACTTTTAAAACACACAATTTAAAGACTATTATTTCAGCATTCAATTGTCTCAATGATCTCATAATTTAATTATAATGGGCAAGTTTAGATTTCTTGATAATAATTTTGTCTATAAACATATAAAATTTAGAGCTCAAATAGCCTTGACTTTAATTTCAAAATTTTCAATTTAAATATTTGATAGAGTTTTTTTGTTTTATCATATCAATCATTTTGGTAACATATCACCTCCATCTATACATTTTAATGATTATCATATCATTCATAAATTAAGATGGGAGAAAATTAAATTATGAAAATATAAGTAGTAATTAAAATTTAACAAAAGCCTAAAAAAACATATAATCTTCCATAAATTTTTAGAATATTGTATTTTTAAAAATAAGCATAAATTATTTTGATATAAGATAAACATGGAACAAATACGCATCCTGTATTTAATTATCTAATTATTTTATAATTTCATAGTATATAATTAATGTAAATTTAATCATGCTAGAAAATAAGGGGTCCCTACCATTGCACTATCCACATGATTCTTGAGAAAATCGTTCTTTTTATTCCCACTACCTTCATATCTGCTTCCCTTTTTCTTCTCAACCCCTTCTATTTCTTAAATATTTGGGCTAACCTTAATTCCTCGGCCATCAGATTTGCGGTGGAGTGTACCATGAATTTCAACTGAGAGTTGAGAATCAAAACCTATGCATGCTGTAGCAAGTTAACTAAACTTATCTGATACTTCTGAAAAGTCGCACCATGTTCCGTATAAAAAAAATTCAGAGTCCACGATGCATGTTCGTCAATTCTCCTCAATGCTAGCTATATGCCCCATCGCGCATAAAAATCAACTGGATTCGGTGCTACATTGGACTGAAACAAGACGTTTCTACATTTGCCTTTTAGGATTCATCGAGCCAGGCTTTTAATTCTTTTCAGCCACTGTTATATATATATATATTATCCAACTGATAGCTTGAAAACTTTTGAAATGGATCAACATATTATATATTACACAATTTTAGTCTATTGCAAATTCTTTTTTATCCCGCACTTCTGAGTACTGTAGACGCATGGAAGTCATATATCAAAGCAGAAAAAAATAATAAATAATCCAAACACATTTATATCACATCAGATATTTCAGAATAGTTGCGGTGTTAAGAAAAAAAGGAAAAAGAAAAAAATTCCGGCGAGGTAGGGTTTCGATGCGCGAGAGAATCACCAGACCTTACCCAAATCCACAAGCTTCCTCGATCGATTCGTTATAAGACCCGGCGGTAAGTCGTAAGCCATAGCGCCGCCACCGCTGCCGCACCGGCGACTAAACGTTCCCCTAAACTCGCCGGAAAACGCAGTCTCCGGCGGCGCATGCTCCCGCCTATTGCCGGCAATCGGTCTCATCATCGGACTCAGGCACAGCCCAAAGCTCGAGAATCTGTGGGGACTCTGTTTACGCCATAATGGCGAAGGGATAGAAACACCTCGGCCCGGAGACTGCTCCGTCGCAGGCGACATTCCCCGACCGCTCAAAGGCTGGACGTGCGGCGATGCCTTCTTATTTCTCATCTTCCGGCCAAGACCTAACGCCAATACCCACGAATTATTAGATCCAGAGGATTTTGAAAACCCGGCGGCCGATTCGGCCTTTTTAGGGCTCGGATAGCCCCAAATTGGAGACAATAGGGAAAACCTCTTGGCGTTTCGATTCTTTCCGCTGACGTTAGAGAATGGGGATGGGTGACAGAGGGGCGGCGGTGGAGTAGGGTGAGCGGATGAGGGTTTGGGATTCCGGTGATACTCCGGCGATGAGACTTCGTCGTATTTAGGGGAGGTGAGGGCGGAGAGGCGTTCGCGAAGGCAAAAGGCGCAGACGCCGATGCCTGAATGGAAAGGGTGGGTATTGCACCTCATTGCTTCTTCTCTTCCGTCATTGAAAGGGGAAGAAGGAATATGTGGAGAAACTGCAGAGCCTTTCTTTTGAAGAACTTTCCAGGAAATGGTAGCCAGCCTTTTTGAGAAAATTGTTCTTTTTATTCCCACTACCTTCATATCTGCTTCCCTTTTTCTTCTCAACCCCTTCTATTTCTTAAATATTTGGGCTAACCTTAATTCCTCGGCCATCAGATTTGCGGTGGAGTGTACCATGAATTTCAACTGAGAGTTGAGAATCAAAACCTATGCATGCTGTAGCAAGTTAACTAAACTTATCTGATACTTCTGAAAAGTCGCACCATGTTCCGTATAAAAAAAATTCAGAGTCCACGATGCATGTTCGTCAATTCTCCTCAATGCTAGCTATATGCCCCATCGCGCATAAAAATCAACTGGATTCGGTGCTACATTGGACTGAAACAAGACGTTTCTGCATTTGCCTTTTAGGATTCATCGAGCCAGGCGTTTAATTCTTTTCAGCCACTGTTATATATATAGAACAAGACGTTTCTACATTTGCCTTTTAGGATTCATCGAGCCAGGCTTTTAATTCTTTTCAGCCACTGTTATATATATATATATATTATCCAACTGATAGCTTGAAAACTTTTGAAATGGATCAACATATTATATATTACACAATTTTAGTCTATTGCAAATTCTTTTTTATCCCGCACTTCTGAGTACTGTAGACGCATGGAAGTCATATATCAAAGCAGAAAAAAATAATAAATAATCCAAACACATTTATATCACATCAGATATTTCAGAATAGTTGCGGTGTTAAGAAAAAAAGGAAAAAGAAAAAAATTCCGGCGAGGTAGGGTTTCGATGCGCGAGAGAATCACCAGACCTTACCCAAATCCACAAGCTTCCTCGATCGATTCGTTATAAGACCCGGCGGTAAGTCGTAAGCCATAGCGCCGCCACCGCTGCCGCACCGGCGACTAAACGTTCCCCTAAACTCGCCGGAAAACGCAGTCTCCGGCGGCGCATGCTCCCGCCTATTGCCGGCAATCGGTCTCATCATCGGACTCAGGCACAGCCCAAAGCTCGAGAATCTGTGGGGACTCTGTTTACGCCATAATGGCGAAGGGATAGAAACACCTCGGCCCGGAGACTGCTCCGTCGCAGGCGACATTCCCCGACCGCTCAAAGGCTGCACGTGCGGCGATGCCTTCTTATTTCTCATCTTCCGGCCAAGACCTAACGCCAATACCCACGAATTATTAGATCCAGAGGATTTTGAAAACCCGGCGGCCGATTGGGCCTTTTTAGGGCTCGGATAGCCCCAAATTGGAGACAATAGGGAAAACCTCTTGGCGTTTCGATTCTTTCCGCTGACGTTAGAGAATGGGGATGGGTGACAGAGGGGCGGCGGTGGAGTAGGGTGAGCGGATGAGGGTTTGGGATTCCGGTGATACTCCGGCGATGAGACTTCGTCGTATTTAGGGGAGGTGAGGGCGGAGAGGCGTTCGCGAAGGCAAAAGGCGCAGACGCCGATGCCTGAATGGAAAGGGTGGGTATTGCACCTCATTGCTTCTTCTCTTCCGTCATTGAAAGGGGAAGAAGGAATATGTGGAGAAACTGCAGAGCCTTTCTTTTGAAGAACTTTCCAGGAAATGGTAGCCAGCCTTTTCATATATTTATACCCCGAATTCTTTTAATCGTGGACCCGCGGAACTCCGTAACTTAAAAAAAGGAGCTGGAGGACGAAAATTTCTTTTGGGCCTATGGGTTGGGAAATATCTATATATCTATTTATGTTTATACATATACACACAACAACAACAACAGAATTTTAATCCCATTACGTGGGATCGGCTATATAAATCTTTTTTTTCCATTGCGTTATATTTAGTGTCATATTTTCATTTAGTTCTAATGAATTAAGATCATTTTTTTATACAATAAGCCCAAGTCTTTCTAGGTCTACCTCTGTCTTTCTTAACATAAGTCGAATCTAAAACATCTACTCTCCTAATCGGATCATTAGATGGTCAACGTTTAATGTGACCAAGCATGCTGAAATTATTACGTAATTGCATAGAAGTATTTATGATAGAATTGTAAGGTCAAAAATTAAAGAGCATCCTAAGTCTGAACATAAATTTAATTATTTAGGATATCCCAAACCTTTATTCTCTGTGAACTAAAGTAAATAAGTTTTGACAGGTCAAAATTTTTTATGTGAAAAAAGAAAACTTTTCTAATGATGAAATATCATATAAATTTTAGAACTGAGGCAAAATTTTCATAATTTATATAAATAAAAAGTTTCATCCAATAAGCAAAAATAATTTAGAAGTATAAATGAGTTGAGTTGACCTCGAGTTATTTTCAATTTGAGTTTGAGAATCATTAATTAATCGATTCGATCCCGAGCCCAAGCTTACTACTGTGAGTTCGACCCAATTCAGACCTGAGTTGTTTATTATGAAAGGGAAAAATTAATATTAAATCAAAGTATTGTTATAATAAATTGATACATATTATGAGTGATTATGAGATAAATAGCATGAAATCATTTATATATATAAGAAAAATACTTTTTTTAATATTATTTTTAACAATTCAAATATAAATTATTGAATTTTAATATATTTTGGGTATATTTTATAATATTTTTTTTATAAGAGTTGGCTCATGAGCTAAAGAGTCGAGTCAACATAAGATTGAATTTAGCTTGTTAGCTTATCTGGCTCAACTCACAAATCACTCATTGAGCCGAGCTCAAGACAAGTCACCAGTCATCTTCGCTCAATTACACCCCGTAAGATAGTTTAGAAGTCGTATCAGGAAGTTTATAATTTTTTTCTAAACCTAAGTTACGCTGAGACGTGTGGATTTCTTCATCAGTGCATTGCTATATTTGGTAATTTATATAATCTGTTCTCTTCAAAAAAAAATTTTAAACTATTCGAATCAAATTCTAAAATATAATAATTAATAATAATAATAATAATAATAATAATAATAGCCAATCTAAAATAGATGATGTTACAAAATTAAATAAATATTTATTTTATGTGGGCCAATATATGCAAATAAATATGGTATTTGTGCTATATTAAAGTTTAACCTAATTAATGTGATCTAACAAAGTATACGTTTATTGATATTAAAAATTTTAAATATGGTCAAAAATATATGTGGAGAGACCTATTTGTATTTTCCAATTTTATGATAAACAAAATTGAAAGTGCAAATGTGTACGAAATAAATAACTACCGATGAGTAAATATTTTAAAGGGTCATTGTCCGCATATAATGTGTGCAAGTGTCTCCCCACTTCTCCCAAGAGAGAGTAAGATTTCATCTTGTATGCAATCCCATCAACAGAAAAGATCAAAGAGAACACATTGATTTGGAAGACAATAACCTATAACAACGAGAAATCATGAGCCAAGATGCTCTCCCGCACTTTAGTTATATTGCAATATATCGTCCAAGTATTAAATGATCGACTAAATCCAACGGCTTATATTCATACATCCATGCATAATTTTCTTTTCACCTGAGAACTCTGCATGTAGACTATAACTGCCTATAAAGTAAAGGCTTATTAACATCATGAAATAAGAGGCAACTAATCACATGGAGTTGCCTTTGAGCATCATGTTGCCGTGAATCTTTGTTTAAACATAAATGAAGTCACCAATGGTTCACGTGAGCTTTACACTGCATGAATTATACGGCCCAACCGAAGCCATTGGCTATTTTGGCATCTTGTTAGAGAATGTGAAACAAATGAAGAACGAATTTGAGTGACGTGTCAATATCTAAGCCCTTAAATTATTTTTAAAAACTTTTGTTGTCTAATTGAAAGGTCAAATAAATTTCAAATTATATAAGTTTATATTCAAGTCGAACGTCTCAAAAAAATGAATCTAACAAACTCAGGATCGCTTAATTCTGATGTCATTTATACACTCAAATGTCCACAAAACTCGTTCCAATTTTTAAATATAAAAATTTTTATTTAGATTTATATATGTAATTGAAATTAATATAAATACAAGATATTATTTAAACTATTTGATAAAGTTAAAATACTTATTACAATAAGATTTTAATTTTTATATCCTATAATTTACTTTGTTTTTTTGTTATATTTATACCTTTACTAAAAAAGGTCATTTTAAAATGCATATCATATCCAAAGGCTGATATAAAAAAATTAAATAAATATCAAATGAGCACTCAAACGATTATGAAATACATATTTTATTCAACTAGCTGACAAATACGTCTTTCAGGATCATTACAGCGACTTAAGGATCTTAAGGTCTGATATTGCTGCTTCGATCTGACCAAAAGAATGGACAAATAGAGTAAGCATAATTTAATTAAAATTTAGCTATGAATCATTTTTTTTAATTTATAGAGTTATGTTATCTAACAATAATCATGTAATTTAATGTTATGTTGATTTTAAAATAAATTTCATGATTTTAAAATTTATCCTAAACAATTTTTTTCATAAATGTTAAGCTGAATCAAACAAATTTAGAGAGTTATTCAGGAGTCAAAATGAGTTAAACTATTGAGTCAAATAAATTTTGACCAAATTATCACTCCTTGTTGGTGTTGAGGAATTTAGGGCGAAGAAAAACAAGAATTGACACAAATCAAGAAGAAAAACGTATAGATTTAACAAGGTTCGACAAAGATGGCTACATCCTTGGGAGCAGAGCGGCGAATTCACTATTTCAGAGGAGTTACATACCCATAGAATTACACATCTATTTATAGATAAAACTCACAGATAAATTTACAAACAAGCCCTCGCTCCCCCCAACCCACTAATCTAAGAGACACACATCTTCACACCAAGAGACACTCTTTTTCATTACAAGAGACACAACTTTCCATTTCAAGATACTCCAAATTTTCTTGTATACGAGCCATACCTAACAGTTGGTGCTTAATTAGTAGCATATTATGCTTTGTTTAGGCCCCAAATCAATCTTTTCGACACTAATTGTAAGCAATTGCAAAATACAAATAGCCTACAGAGTTGATGAGCTACTTTAACTCACGAAGAAACCTATGTTTTAAGTTAACTTTAGTCAGGCTAATGTTGAATATAATGTGTGAGAGCTAATCTGTCAGTCAGGTATTATATTATTTCGAAATGAGTTTAATAGTAGAAACTATCATTACTTTATTAATAAATTTCAGCCAGGATTAATTAATTTATAAATATAATTTGTATATGATTTTACAAATAAATAAAGAGGAAATTACATAGATAGCACCCATTTCTTATGAATTTACCTATCTCACACCCAAAGTCTCATTTTTACACGTATAAAATATTATCTATGGATAGAAAGATGAATTTGACTAATAAAAGAAGATATTGGGTGTTACTTATGATGTTTATAAATATGAATATTTTGGTGTTAAATAGTTAAATATGAACGTTGGGTGCTATGCAGCTAAAAATCCCATAAATAAATTGATTTGTAAAAGAGATTATCATTTGATATATAATATTACTTCATACAATTAAATATACTATAACTCGCGCGGTTCTTTTTCTTACCTAAAACCTCTCATGAGGAGTAGAGCTGTAAAAACAGCTCGTTGTTCGTAAACAGTTCGTGTTCAGCTCAGTAAGTAGCTCGTGTTCTAATCGTGCCCTAAGCAAACGAGCTGAACACGAACCAATTTTGTTCGTTCGGTTCGTGTTCGGCTCGTTTTGGCTCGAAATAATTATATATATGTATAATGATTATTATTTTTAAATAATTTAATTGAGTACAAAGCTACAAATATTTATAATCAATTAAAATTACTAATTAAAAATAGAATTAAAATATGTTAAATTCTATTTAAATGAATATTTTAATATAATTAATAAGATTTAAATTTCTCGCTACTCTTAACATCTTACGGATGTGTGATTAGGGTTGTCAAAATGACTCATTATTCGTGAATAATGCTTTGAATATATATATATATATATATATATAATAGCATCTTCTCGTACTCTCGAATGAGATTCTATTCTAAATGAGAGAAATAGGACATAACCGTGAGGTCATTTATGCTTAACTAAAGAAAGTTAATGACATATTACTTAAGTAAAAATAGCATTTTTAAAACAATAATTATATAATTTGGATCAAATATATGCCACTAATTTCTAATTTTAATGATAAATAAAAAGCTGGTAACAGTCAAACATGAGATTTTTTTAATGAATAATTTGTGGTAAATTTAAACATAGGTGACTCAAAATCTATAATATTGAAGATACAATCATCTCCTTTTAACCAATATGTCAGTGAGTCTTTTATAACAAACCAAGCGGTCATTCATTTGTTCTCATTGAGTATTGGTTACACTTTTCTAGTAAGTTAAGTCAAATGCTCATGAATGATTTCTTCACTTGATAACAATAATGAAACTAAATTTTAAATGCAAATAACAGTATTGATTTATGATTTTTAAGATTATGAAATATTGTATTATATTTAATTACAACTAATGTTATCATAAATTATGAGAATAGTCTATAATATTATATTTATAAAAATAATTTGATTTTTAAAACTTCGATCCATTTGAAGGGCCTAGATCATTGAGTGAACTGAATAGGTGGAACAGTAACTAGACTCCATTTC